GAAAGGGAATATATGAATGAGGCAGCAGGCCAGGGAGGCTGCCAAGGGTGGATCCAACAGCCTGGCAAATAGGGCTGCAAATGCTCAAATTCTGTTGGGCTTTTTGAGCACTGTTTGGAACTGACAGCTTTGGGAACACAGTCCTGCATTTATTTGTAGCACAGATTTGGCATTATAGGAAATTATCTGGATAGGTGGGACAAAACCATCAAAAAGCCATCAATATTGAATGCCTCTCACGTGGCCCCAGCACCAGGGTTGCTGCCAGCCTTGTATGGAGGTTTGTCTTCCAGAGGCAGGGGAACAGGAGTGGGATTAAGTCCTGCCACAAATGAACAAGTTTGAGAACTTCCCTTTTTTCCCAGGGGGCTGGTTTAAAAGGCACATTTCTCCAAGGCAAAAGACTGACTCTGTATACTGGCAGGGAGCTACTGGGAAGGGCAGTGGAACCAAAAGGTGCTTTATGTTCCACAAAAAATTGTATAAAGAAGAGACTGTGTTCTTAAAGGTAAAGAAAAAAAGCAAGAAAGTTATAATAACCAGAAAATACACGATGAACTAGACACAATTAGTTTTCAAAAGCCTTCACAGTCTGAAAGAAGTCCAGGAACTGTGTGGCTCACTAATAATCCTTCAAGAAGGCAGTACAAGTTCAAATTGTGTTAATGAAAAGTAGCCAATACTGTCTGCATGCAAATTTTTGCTTTTATAAAATAAAATCCATTTATGAGGTAGCAGATCTACCTTAGTCCTAACCTGCATGAGGTTAGTTTTTCGAGGATGTTTTCTTAGCAAGATTCCCCTCAATTAATCACCCAACTTATTGTATGAGTTTCTCTGTAGACATCCTGGAAATAAATACTAGATCTGTGGGTGGATGGATGGGCATCCTGCCCATCATTTAGGAAGGGCTTTTGTTTCTGTCAAAATGATTAACAAATTAAAATCATCCTGATATAAGAGATAAACATGTATACATACACATGTGATGTATCAAAGTTTTACATAGCATTTAAACATCAGGCAGTTAAATCTCCCACATTTGGGACTATAGTTTGGGCATTAAAACTAACAGGATTCGATTGATGCAGATGTTTTCTTCAGTCCTTGCTTCTGGCAATCAGAGTAACAGCATAGTAATGTTTATGTTTATAATACAGATGTTCTATAGAAGTGGAATACAGAGCCTATTCCAATGAAATCTTGTCATTCATATAATGATGATGTGGCTCATTGCTTGTATTTGATCTGCAGATTTCTCCATGGTTCACCAAACCTCAACATATTTTCAGAATAAGAACAGAGGGTATGACTGAAGCTGATGAAATTTCCCACCAAGTATTTATGTAAAAATACAGTAGGTACAGACTGTCCTCTACATGAAATATTAACAAACTTATTATTTTAATAAATTAATATAGTTTAATGATGAACTGAACAGCTTAAAATAGCTGTTCAGTTCATCATTCCTCTCTGTAGTTTCATTTTCTCTGTAGTTTCTGCTGTGGCACAGGGCCTGAAATCACTCCTGAGACCAGCAGGGTCATGTACAGGTAAAAAATGTTAAAATTTATGGAACAAGGTATGGGATTCTGCTAATATTACTGTCTTATAACCTTCTACCTACTCAAAGCTTTTCAAACCGATTTGGACATTGCATTATTTTGTACTCACAATCAGGAGGCATTTTTTCTGTAAATAACTTGTAATATTCTTTGAGAAGTTCTAAGTTTTCCTGGTTAATGTTTTCCTGCAAAGTGGTATCTCCAAACCTATGAAAATACACAATAAATTATGGAAAAAACCCAAAACCCACAAACAACAACAACAACAAAAGATAAATTATCCTTCATAGTTATTTCTTTGCATAAAGAAATAACTTTGGTGCTAAATGCATTAGATTTTGTCAAACATGCAGTAGTTAAGTTCTTGTATGCTTTGGAATTAATTTTTGGAAACGAGATCATCGCTGATGCGTACTTCTTCCAAAAGTTTATTAACAAAGCAATCTATTTACAAACATGCAATAAGGCACTTATTCTTTTCCCCTCACAAATCTTGAATAAATGGAAAGGCACTTTGGGGGAATTCCAATTCCAAAAATTGGGTACCACAGGCAGAGAACACCAACTCCTCCATCTCTTAGTGCTGCTACTGCTTAAGCATATCAATTTCTGTAAGAGCTGGATAATATGGAAGTGACACAAGATGGAAGAGAAGCTTATCTACAAAATAACTGTAGCTACAAAAACAAATATCTTTCTCTCTGAGACCAAGATTTCTACAACAGCCACATTTCACATGCCAAGAAACTAAATCTCACGGTACTACAGGAGATATGATTGTAAAGACACGAATGTCCCCATGACAGTTAGGGCCAAAGTTTTGAAATTCATCTTCAGAATAGATTTGAAACGGGAATGGAGGAGTACAGGAAGAGAGGCATAAGTGAGAAACTCAGAGAGAAGGGGACACAGATCAGAAGATACCAAATATGTTGCTAAATTGGGAACAAGGGAAGCAAATATTTCAACAGGCCACAGGGAGAAGATGTAACTACTTCCTTAGTAGCCACTGCTGCACTGTCACATGAGAACATTTCTTTTAAATCGGAAATATTCTCAAGTGTATTCTATCAAAAAACAAATTAAAAGATTTTTTTTCTAATAGAGTAACATTTCCTAGAAATTTGCCACAAAAATGTTTTTATATTCTCAGGTTCTTTATCCCACAAACCCCTCCATGTTTTTAGCCATAAATCATGTGTGGTGTTTTCAGTCTCAAAAACAAATGTACAACTTTAGGAGTTAAGCAGCATTTTGAATTAAGACAAAAGCAGACTGTAACTGCATGCATTAAAGCTGCTTCTGCATTGAAATTATTTTCTTGGTAGATATTAGTACATATCTGCCGGGGGATGGGTAGATATAAGTCCAATTGTGTCAGGAACCCACGCCTTAAAAAAGGAACCCACTAGGCCGCAGCAAAATGTCCAGTATGGACAACATTGTAACCAGACCAGTGAAGAGATTTTTGCTTTTATTTCCAGCACATCAGTCTCATAACACAAAATGGAGACATGACAGCTCACTGATCCACCCCAAAATGTCTCCTCCAAAATGTCCCCCTCAGGAGGGCCCATACAGCAATACATAAAATCATCTCAGTCTAGTTTCAGCCAATCAGATACAGAAAACACGTATTGACAAGCATTCTATCCAATCCCACAAAGTATACGTAATCGTAGCTAAAACAAAGACTAGTTCATAAGAGACAAAGAACAGAGTTCTATTCATGCTAACCTTCTAAAGATATACATTAAATAACCTTGTTGCCATCCTAAAGCCAATTCTACAAAGGCCTATTGTTATTTGTCACGTATGCTCTACTGCTTGGGAAACTTTTCTGCTTGCATGGGAAACTTTTCTGCAATGCTAACAAAACTCCAATCTAAGGCCTACATACCTTTTTTTAACCATTTCTTAAAAATCCTCTAACCTTATGGATTCCAACACATATCCATATTTAGAAATATGCAGTTATTTTGTTTTCTCCTATGGCTTTCTTTGCACACAATGTAAAATGACCACTGGGAACAACACTTCCTGCCACTTCACTTGCAAGCCAGGCATCTTTTCATACCAACTCCTCTACAAGCCCCCAGGTAATCAGGCTATTTCTAAATGTTGTCAAATTTTTCCTCAGACTATTCATAACTCAGTCCTTCCTGCCTATCTCACTCATGTAAGCTCCCACCAGCCTGCTTCTTGCTTACCACATCATGTCTTACCTCTTATTTTTTGAGTGATCCACTCAGAACTGTCATGACTGATTTTGTTGGTTTTGCACATTATGAGTTTGGCCACGTCACTCCTCTCAGCACTTTCCTCTTTATGTCATCAGAATAACCTATTTTCATTTTCAAGAAGTTTCCAAGTTCTCTAACCAGCTATCCAGCTCTTTCACAGTAAAATGCCAGATTTTACTGTCTTTAGATTCAGTCTATGTCTCCCATTTCAATTTTCTGCCTAAATTTTCTCACATATCACCACTCAACTTGGAAAAGTGTCCCATAAACATTCACAAAGCTACCTGATGGCATTCTTTAGTAGACTTCTTTAAAAGACTGGGTTTACTTGGCTGTCTACAGTGAACAGGAGAAAAAGTCCTGTGGTGTTTAACTTCTTGCCTATTACCCAGGTTAAGGATTTTCACTGTCTCCCTCCATTACTCCAGCTACAGCTTTGCTATAAGCTTTTGGCTTAGAGCAAATGCAACCTCAAGATAAGCATTAGGTATTTTGGATGCTCTGTTAATAAAAGCAGCTAAAAGAAAAGAAGTTTTAACAAAGTAGCTGTCTGTATTGACATCTTGACTTCTACCTTGCAGTTTTAGCCCTGCACAAATGTGGTAATTTAACATGACTGACAGATACCCTTCTCTTGGAAGAGAAAATTAATACGTTGGTGAATCCATGACTATTATTATACTAATTAATTAGTTTCCAGCAATCTGTTGCAGAGGAGTACTAATTTCTCTAGCTTATCACTTGTTTGGTCTCTTCAAACCCATCTTCAAGATGTAAGAATTTTGAATTTTCAAACTTGTGTGAGAATTTCAGAGTACTGCATACAACCAAAATTCTGCATCTGAAATAGAAATCCATTTTGCACCTGTATCCAAGAGAAACATGGCACCAACTCTGTGAAACGAAGCCCTGCTTATGATCTTATCTTCATCTGGACTTTTTCACTGTTCTACATTGCTTCATAGCTTGTGTTTATTTCCTTTAATACCTTTGACAATACACACTGAGTCAATGTGAGATTGTCTAAGAGCAAATAACAAAGAAGATTTGTTTCTAATCCTGAGAGATAGCCTGTACCAGCATGGAGTACTTGGACAGAAAATGCAACGTGACTTTTCCTTACCTCTCTGCCAGTGTTTGCTGCTCATTAATTCCAACATTAAAGAGCCCTGGATACATGCGAAGCAGCTTTCCCTCTTTAATCTCTTGTGGCAGCAGCTCAAACATCTTTGCTGGGAGCTGGACCTCTATAATGTAATGTTCACTAGGAAAAATGAAAACAAGAGTGAGGATGGGGTTCTTGATTGTCAGGAAAAGTTTCTTCAGCCAGAGAATGGTTGAGCAGGTTGAACTGGCTCCCCTGGGAAGTGTCACAGCACCAAGCCTCACAGAGTTCAAGAAGCATCTGAACTCTCAGGCACGGGGTGTGATTCTTGGGAAGCCCTGTGCAAGGCCAGGAGTTGCACTTGATGATGCATATGGGTCCCTTCTAACTCAAAATATTCTGTGATTCTGTAAAGAATGTTCCAAAAGCACCTCTAATAAAAGAATGACCTCTAATAAAAGAATGTGAGTTCCTGAACAGAATTTCACCTCCCCTGGGTGGCTGGTGTCTACCACCCACACCAGATGATCAGTGCACTGCTACACAGTGCCACACACTTTGGATTGATTTGTTTGTGTACACAGAATGTCAGGTTTAAGCACTTTCCTAGAAAAAACAATTACAAGTAAATATGCTGACTCTTCAAGATAAGAGTTTGTAGTTTGGTTTTTCTGTCTTGCATTTCTACAGTCTTTCACTCTCATTTATTGAGCCATACCATATAACAACCAAAGTAAAAATGGAGGGTTTCTAAAAAAATTATTAGAAAATAACTAGATTTTCACCTTTTCATCTTTTCTTTTTATGGTTGACTTCCAATTTGTTTGATAGGAGCAGTCTTATCACAGCTCTAAGAGGAATGGGACTCCTCCACATAAACCATGGAGATTTTATTTTTAAAATTTTTTTAATTTTAATTATTCCCAATGTATTGCCTACCATATTCCAGCCTTCCTGTTATTTATTCAATCCCTTCTCAGAAAGCCCATATGATGAGAGTGAATCATCCAGATTAATTAAGTAAATCAGTGGTGAAAACCCCCTTCAGAGGAAACATATATTTTCTAAAAGTTCCTGCTTTTAGCTGAATTTAATTTACAGTCATCTTAAGAGCAATGATACTATTAAGGAAGTGATTTTTGCAAAATAAAACTATTTGGAGCTTCAGACTAGAATAATAATAAAGATGAAAAATCCATTCCAATCTTGTTAACCCTCAAATAGCCAAAATTAATGGAGTATTGCAGTTTATGTCCTGACATTCAGCAGTACTCACGTGAGATTCATAAAGGATAAGTGATTTTGTGCAAGGATTTCTGACACTGCCTATGTCCTGTGTGATTTTCAGCAGCTAAAAAAGGCTTCCATTTTTAAAAGTGACTACTAAGTTTTTAATACTAAGTGGCATCGGAGTTTTTTGGTTTCCATCTTAAAAACAATCAAGGCCTAACTCTTGGAACTGCAATTTCATTTCTCATGCTGAAATACAAATTCAGGACATTCAAAAGCAAAGTTTCTCAGTTAGAGACCACATTTGTAAATAATGGCCTTGTCACTTGTCCAGGATTCAGTATCCATGTGTGAATAATGCACCAGCAGTTCTGCACAACACAGACATTGCTCAGATTAATCTGTATTAGTAACTGGAACTTTAGCTTTTTATCAGGAGAGTAACCCAGAGCCTACTGGCTTTTAGAATCCCTACTAACTCACCTTCTAAAAAGTAAAACAATGCACTTTCAATAAAACAGAATTCAGCAACAAGAAAACCATTAGACGGGTTTCATGGGCTACAGATTAAAACTGCAACTCAGTTTCCTGGGCTCCAAGAAACAAAGTTCTTACCGCCTTCCACTTATAATAGGCAAAAAATCTTCTGACTTGGCTTCAATTACTCTAAACATTACTTTCTGCAAATCTGAAATGCCCACAGCCATGTCTTCGAGCATCCCTGCTTCTTCACCTACATGAAAAGATTAAAGAGACTATTAACAGAGTTGGCAGATCAGTCACTGTATAGGTCAGGGCAAAGCAATATATTTTCCAGTCTGTGCATCTAAAAATCACAGTTCTAAATCCACATTACAGTAACCTACATAAAACCAGACTAATTTCTTAAACTGCTGACAATTCTGTGGCCTAAATGATAACCATGAGTATTAAGCAATTCTGAAAATCAGCCTGCTCTCTATATGCATAAGATAACCTCAGAAAAGCCATTTTTGTCTATTCTGAAAGTTTTCAAAATGCTTTCCTGCTGATGGAGGACAAAGGTTTTGAGAATAAAAACAAGCGTCATGCAAAATGGAGAAGACAGCTATCTCCAAATGAGCAACTGCATAAAAAAGCTGCACAAATGCTAAATTCCTCTACTTTAGTCAAAATCTCTGATTCAGGGAATGATTCCAGTAGATCTAGTTCAAAGTTTGAAACATAAGGCAATTTCTCCCTCCAAATTTCCTTTTTAATACATATCAAACAATGGCATGTGTAACAAACTATGAAACTGTTTTCAGGCTATCTTCACATTATCAGCACTGAGGATCAGGGCCGAGGCTGATAAAAGCAGTGTTTAAATCTTCTGTTTGCATTAGTTTTATAAACCTGCTATTTTGGGTCAGGTCTGCATGGAACAATAAGCAGGCCGTGTTCTCTGACGAACTCAGAATGTAACAGATTAAGAACTTTTGCTGCAGAATTAACAACACAGTATCAATGACTTCAGCTGTGCTATTATGTGCAAGTCTACTGTCTTGTAAGGACAATATTTGATTCAGCAAGCCAAATTATTGGAAACAGAGCAGAGGTTAAAATAAGAACTTCCTGGGTAACTTCTGGGCAGGGAACATAAGGAACTTTGTCCAAGAGCAGTACTTACTGTATGTACTAAGGAGTCCTTCATGCTGCACCAGCAATCCAACAGTGTGAAGCTGTTGTAAAAATCCTTGATCATGTAAACCTGTGTGCAATTTGATTACAAAACCACAGACCAATCCAGCGAGCTGTAAAGATAATTAAAACACGTGCAAGAGTGTTACAAGACAAACAGATACGAGACGTTTCAACTGTTACAAAACAGTTAAAATGAGGCTTGCTATCATTATACACAACAGAGGTAGCACCTACATATTTGAGAAATCAGCATAGGTATTTCTGTTTAGTGACTAAGTACATGATTTCATAATAATTATTTTGATGGGTTTTTTGAGGGTGTATAAAGTAGTGAAATATTCTGTTAAGGTATATTAGATAAGCTTAATTTGTTTTGTATCATTGTGTGTTATTTACACTGACATAAATAAGACCAGAACCTCACTTGTCAGGCTTCAAACATGCAAGACTGTGAATTATGATGTGAATTATGTGAATTAAACATGTGAATTATGATGGATTTGAAAGTGGTTCAACATCTAATGTAACTGAATCTCCTTGGCAGCTGCAACATACAACTTAAGAGAAAAATTAAGTGAAATATTCAGAAAAAAATCTATCTGAAAAAAACATGATATACAGGAGAAGACATAAAGAGCTTCAGTTATTTGCCAAGAAAAGACAGTTCTAAGGAAAGACATGCTAGTGGTATTTAAACACTTAAAACACTGCCACAAACTGAAAACAAATTATCTCCTCCCTGTTTCCAAGGTGACCAGGAGAAAAAATCTCCCTGGCTTGGATGCTGCCTAGCCAGTACCCCGTGAGGCCACATCTAGAGTGCTGCGTTCATTTCTGGGCTCACTAGGACAAGAAAGACAAGGAGCTACTGGAGAGAGTCCAGAGAAGGAACACAAAGAGGATTTGGGTCTGGAGCATCTCTCTTATGAGGAGAGACTGCACGAGCTGGGCTGTTCAGTCTGGAGAAGACTGAAGGGGATCTCATTAATGCACACAAATACCTCAAAGGAGCAAGTGCCAGATTCTTTTCAATGGTCCCCAGCAGCAGGACGAGGAGCAAAGGCCACAAGCTAAAACACAAGACATTCCACCTCAACATGAGGAACAACTCCTTTATACTGAGGGTGGCAGAGCACTGGAACAGGCTGACCAAGAAGAATTTGGGTGCCCCTCTCTGCATACATTCCAACCCCACCTGGGCGTGTTCCTGTGTCACCTGCTCTAGGTGACCCTGCCTTGGCTGGACTGGGGGGTTGGATTGGATGATTGCCAGAGTCCCTTAACCCTACCTATTCTGTGATTCTGTGATTATGAATATCAGCAGGATATATTCAAAGCTACACTTGAGAACTATATCATCTAGGAAGTCTAAAAATAAATTTCTGGATATTACTTTGTGCAAAGGCAGGATTAGCCAACTTTTCCAGTCCACTTCAGACCTGCTGCTCTGACTCAGTGATAGAAGCACCGTGGATTTCTACTTACTATTTAGTTTCTTACCACATTATAAATTATTTAGGTGAATATCATGGAAAATAAATGAAAAAGCTGTATCAAATTGTAAGAAAAAAAAATGAGAAAGAAACCCACAAACACTGGCATGAAGAGTATGCTTATAATTAGAGCAACAGAAGGAAGTGAGTGACACAAGACAACCTACTGCTTGGCTGAAGACGATGTCTCTCCTCAGGGTCAGCATCAGGCACTGGGGCAAGCCACAGGCAAGTTCCTGGAGCAGGACGAAGGCCATGGACTGCTTGGCCCTGGTCACCACCTCTGCCATGCAGTCCTTCAGCGTGACCACCAGCGGGTACAGCTGCTCGTACCAGTCACCTACAACACAACAGGTCATCTGCTCCAGAGTGGAAAACTTGCAGTGAAAAACCCTTCTTCACTAGGAAGGATGGCAGTAGCAGCTGTGCACATCACTCTTCCCTTTAAAACAACCCCTGCAGCTCTCCCCAGACCACTGTGGGACCACAAATGCCACTGGAGAACATACTTATAAGCAGGATTCCATCTTACCACTGGGAATGGGGTTAAATCCCTGGCCTGAATCCAACTGCACTCTGAAACAATGGCCTTTTCTAACAGTCCCAGCATCCCTGCAAAACTGGTATTCAAGTGTCACAAACAGAGTAGACAGGGAAACACATAAAACCTCATTTAGCACACAGAGATTAATACAGTGGCGATGGAGTCTCCTTTCAGGACTCAGAACTGGCTATGTAAGAAATGAAATAGCATCAAAAATGCAAAACCAGAGAGAATAACAAATATTTAAGAAAAGGTGGGTGCTGGAGGGCAAAACACAATAACAAATAGGTATCTGGAAGGGTATCACCTACTTAATCTACAGGCTGGAAATATAAAAAGCTTCAGACCATATTCCTTTTTTTTTAGATTCTATGTTGTTCTCTTTAAACATTTGGAGATTTTGAACTCATTTTAGCTATTTCTATCAGAGAGATGCAGACTATTTTGAAACATGTTTTTCTCTGTAAAAATACATGCTAGGCGTATTAAAAAAAACACTCATGAAATGATTGAAAAATGTGATTCCTTAATACATTACAAATGAAACAGTGATAACTAGGAATGGAGAAGAATTGGAACACCTTACACAAACTTGCCCAATAATCCCAGCTACTCCTGAATTTTATACGATTTAATAAAATCAGACCTGCCTTGTAGCTGCATATGGCTTTGCCTACCCCTAAGTTGAGCAAATAATAAAAAAAAATAAATAAATCCCCCTCCTTTAGAATCTACATCTCAGTTTGATTGTACAGATTGAAATGAGGGAAATTAACACTCTAGAAGAATCTATATAAAAGTTGGGAATGCAACTGACAATGCAACAGTCTACAATTGGCTCATATTTTCTGTAGATCAGTGTAATTAAGAATCAATGATAATTAAAATCTGTTGTAATTAGGTGCAAGACAGCAGCGTGTTGTTTCAGGTAACATTCTGAGTCAGGCCAGTAAAACCTCATTAGAACTGAGGAAGTTCTTGAGGCAGAAGACAGCTGCCTGTTGCCAGTCAATTTGGCTGAGCTCCAGAAAAACACATAAATTAATAAAACTGCAGCCAAGAAGACTGGAGAGAGCTTTGAAAGCTGGGAGAAATTAGAGAAAGCAAGGAGCAGGAAAGGGGAACAAGGACAGAGCATGCACAGAGAATCAGAGGAGCTCTTTGTTAACTTTGTGGTCAGAAAACATGAGTTTTACCACAGTCATACATATTTAACCATGAGTAACACAGACTGAGGAAGCATTCCCTGGAAAAAAGCAGTTCTGAAGTGAGTGTCATCCTGACAAAACAGACCATGAGCCACCCCCAGGCACAAGCTCCAGGTGATTTTATACATGTCATTGGCTAACAGAGTGATGACACACTGTGTGCTAAACGCTGGTGTACACATTTTAGAGAGGCTGCTGGATAAATGGAGAGCTTGCAGCGCAGAGCTACCAAGATTTAGAGTTTAATCTCCTTAAGCTGATGAAAAAGACTGAGGAGCAACTAGATTTCCCCTCTTCATGAGGAGAAAATAACAAGAACTAACTGTGGTGTTTATTCCAGGGAATAAAAGCAAAAGAACAACCAGAGGCTGCTGCAAAACACAGACGAGTTTAGAAATAAGGTAGACAAAAAAGTGTACCAAAGATTGTCTTGTATGCAAGGCATAAATATATAATACCAATGCAATTCATAAATAGACATTATTTGCAAAGGGACCTGACATGTCTAAAGTAGAGTTCTCTTAGAGTGACTCAGTAAATCATATTGTATACATTTTAGAATAAGATATCTTTCAGAATACCTTTGTAGAATCACTTCAGGAAAGGAATAACACAAATTATTGCTTTTAACACATTCATGGACTCACACACATTGAGCCTTCGGATCTCAACTTTCTTTTAAATTAAAATCACAGTGGAAAATTGTTTGAAGAAGGGGTGAAGAATTAACTGAATGAGTGACCATCTGAAAAAAGGAGATTAGAAGCAAGAACAGAAGCGACAAGGAGACTCCAGGATGACTGTCAGGTTGCTAAAATGACATGGGCAGCCTGTCAGTTTGGAACACTTAGCATCCAGAAGAACTGTCAGAGTCTCCTGATAAAGCAAAGAAACTCAGCACAAAAATAGAGCTAGTCAGCCACGGGAAACTAAAACAAGGCATGAAAACCAAACATACTAAATTAAAAAATTAAAGGATGAAACTAAAAGGACAGTACCACCGCTATGCAGTTAGAATGAGATTAAAACAAAAGTGCATGTTCCACAAAGCACTGAGTAAATATTCCATGTTCATTGCCAAGAGAGTGATGGCAGCTCAGTCTGTGACAGCATTTGCCCTTTGGTTACTGGAAAATGCCCTTCAGCCCCGTGTTCCTAAAATCAACAGGCTGCGCAGGCAAATGACCTGCTTAGCACCCAGCTAGTCAGTTCTGCATGCTCATATCCAAGTTGCAATATGTCAAACCACATGTTAAATTTGATAAACTTTGGCAGAAAAGCAAGCTTCTGGTCTTTTCAAAGTCAGGTCCACTGAAATGCTCATTAAAATATGCTGGTAACCAAAAAGGATGCTTCAGCATAGTACTCCTATCTCCTTTAGCCCTAGCAACAGATTAAAAAAGCCAATTTTGTCACTATTTGTGCCACCTAAAATCCATAAATTGCTTTAAGTCACTTCAAAACTTGAATGGTATGAAGTTAAAAAATCAAACCTTAAAGCAGAAGAATGCATAATGTTGTGCCCTTAAAGCAAAGGGGGGCACTACAGCCATACAAATGTAAGAAATACAAATATAAATGTGACATATAAATGTAACAGCAGATACCCACGAGGTAATGTTTCACTTAAATTAATCACTCATTACCTGATCATAAAAATATTCCATGACAGAATTGAAATAATAGAGGTAAAAAAACATGAGTTGTCTTTATATCACAAAGTGATCATTAGACAAACTCTGTTTTAATGAAAAAGGCAGGCAAATCAAACCAACCAACCAACACAGCAGCAGTAAATCCCTAAAAT